TGATGGGAGAGAACCGGTTGTGCTTTTATCTTATATGTACTTTGCAGCCAATATGGGGCTTACTGTTATGCACAGTATATGTCTATTAGTACTGTGTCTGGTACTAACAGTATCTTCAACATATTCTCTAGATATTTCATATACATTTGAAATTGATTATAAAATTGTCTCATTGATATATACACATCTGAAATGGGTACTTGAAGGGTTTATTGGATAATTAAGGGTTCTTGGTTTCCAAAAAATGGCTTTATTTTGGACCTTTTCTAAAGGTTCTCTGTAGGGTTCTACATAGAACCTTTAAGAGGTTTTCCAGATGGACAACCAAAGAACTCTAAAAGTGTTCTAAATTTTTTGAGTGTAATTACCTTAATTATTGAAAAGTACTGCTCCCAGAAGTGTTACCAAAGTATGCTTTTTTACCAAAGTTTAGCAATAGAACTAGTACGCAGATACTATATATAAGTAGTATATAGTATAATTAGCATACTGCGACATAAAGACACGCATTAGTGTCTTAATAAAGTGTTGGGCCACCACAAGACACAAGACCTGTTTCAGTGCACCTTTTCAGTACCTCTCAGTGTAGGTGTAGACATCCTGTATTGACATTCCCAGTTATCATTCACTCTGTCTGCAGTTAGCCAATAGATTGTAAATAAACTGACCAAAGACATTGTAGATTGGCCTATCTATCTATCTATCTATCTATCTATAAAAAGCCTACTTGGGGACCACTTTTGGGAACTAAATATTTCAATAATTAATACTAAGTACACTCAAAAAATTTAGAACACTTAAGGGTTCATTATCCCTCTGGGAAACCTTAACATCATTGCCTAACCTCTTTTAGGATGCATTGCTGCATTTATATCTGATTTAGTGCATCCTGGATTTAACAAAATCCTAATCATTGCAGATGAAATTGCTTCACACTAAAGCTTCTTCAAGCATGCATCATCATTCCTCATGCCTCTTGTGCACACCCAGGAATGATTCAGAAAGTGTAGACTACATATTGAGAACACACACATGCAAGTAAAATATATTTTTATACCATATTCTAAAGAAGCATGGCTTACCCTTTTGAAAGGCCATTTTTTAAAGACATTTGGTAATTTGGGATACATGTCTTCTTTGGCTTAGGCCTTCACGTTCATCCTCAGTGACAGTTTTAAAACATTATTTATTTATAGCATATTTATTCATGGCATCAATAAATAAAATTTCAATAACAGGATTTAATAAAATGAATCCAAATTCATCATCAACATATTCTATTTTATGAACTAAAGCAGACTAAATAGATGTAAATAAGTGACATTCTATAATTCATTTCTTAATGCAATAACAACAATAAAAGGGTTTATAAAGTCTTCAATAATTTCCAAATTCATAATCAATCTTTATTAAATTAACACAGGTTAAGTAAAAATCACTGTAGAAACAACCAATAAAAGGCGAAATTTTACAATTTATTTCTTGCAGTAACAGTATAACACAGGCTTTAAAAAAATAAACCTCTACAGCAATCTCTTAAATGATATATACAGTACGATAAGTAAAAATCTCTGCATGCTAAGTGGTACACGTTCTATATTTCCCAGTCTACATTATTCCCCTGCTTCTTAAGCTGCTTCATTAAAAACACCATTTAATGCACATAAAATCCATCAGTGCATCATTTAACCATAGTCGTGGGGTGTTTCATGCATCCATTCGTGCATACATTATATGCCATCATTTTCCCTCTCTCCACTTACTTTATTTTAAGACTGTCACAATTAATAATAATACTGTTCCAAATTGCCAAAACCGTATTTGGTAACATCTTGAAAATTAAATTATAAACATATGTACATGATTTGAGCCAACTTTAGATTTATATTTGTTATAGTAATACAGATTATGTACATATGCATCATAAATATATGTAATATACAGAATTAGAATTACAATTTATATTATCTTATTTAAAAAAAAAAGATTTTTGAGATCAACTTCCTGTTTACCGCATATAACGGGAAGTTACACAAAAAAAAGTGTAACAAAAAAAAATCTGTGTTCTTTACTTTTGAGGGAAATCCAGGAATTGTGGTCATGAAACATAGCAGGGATCAGGCAGACAGCATAATCATAGGCATATCCATAATCATAAATGGTAACACAAAAACAAAGAAAACAAAGAACAGGGAATGAAACTAAGGCTCAGAACTGCACATTCAAAAGGAAAGCTTGAGGGTGCATTAAGACAAACTAATCAAAGGATGAACTCAGAAAAAATGCACACATTAGGTGACCATGACGGCCAAAAACATAGCCATGTGACAATGTAAACTTGGAGCACATGAAGTGAATGTAAAACAAAACCAAAATGCAGCGCTCATCACGCTTAGAACCATGCCGAGCCCTTAGAGGGGGAATTCATGACAACAAGTTCTATAATATCAAAAATAAATATAGCAACACTATATAATATATAATATGTATAATATATAATATATAATCAGGTTCTATTTAGGTATTTCTTCCCACTCCATACAATTAGAAGACTATACTTCTACTTACATTCTACTTAAAAATGTAAACTAGCCATTTAACCCTGTACTCTAATTTTGTACAGTAGAACATGCCTGCAGTGTAGTTCACTCAAATAAAATGAATTGATTCCACACCGCTTCCATTTTAAATACTAAAAGTGCACAAATTTACTCAAAATAATTAGTCATCTTTCTCTATTTTATTAGTGAAATGCACCCATATTTTTGTATAAATGTGGAATCATGTCAATCATGAAAATTATCATTCAACTGATTCTTTTTTTTTTTTTTTTTTACAGTGTATCATATTGTCTGTCATGCTGTAGCTTGTGTTTTAAAATATTGATCCATGTGCTCCTTTTGAACTTTGAGCACCTGCCCCTCAGAATGCCTTTCCATGGCCCTGACTGAGAATGGATGTTCAGGATTTGGCATGTGTAGACAGGATTTATCCTGTAATTTATATGGAAGAAATGTCACACTGGGAGACACACGCCAATGTGTTTCATCTGTGCTGAGTAAATCATATTACAATCTATTTCAAGACCCGTCTGAATAGTGTCCCGCTGCCCGTGTCAGTCATGCAGTTATCACAGCACTTACTTTCCAGTTGCTTTTTTACAGGGACACGGTCTTCACCTATAGAAAGACAGCAGGTGATTTTTAAGTACATAAACGCCACTAGGGGCCACTGTGATATCAGAGAAACACTTCAGCATCATATTTGTGGGAATAAGGAGGAAATTTTACTTTAAAAAATGAATCTCGATCTATTCATTGTACTGAACACAATTTGTTTTGTTATCTAAAATCTGCTTTATTTATTTTGTATTTCTCTGTCTCTGAGAGACATGGTTCATTTGGAAACATGGTTCTTTAATAAAGATGGTTCTTTAACAAATATGGTTCTCAGTGATACATGGTTATTTAAGTTACCCCCCCCCCCCACACACAAACACACATACACACACACTCACACACACACACCCCTTCGTCTGGACTGGAATGTTCAATACTATGGCTGGCAATGCAATTATGCATAGACTATAAATTACTATTATAAATGTACCTCCACCTCCTCCCTGTACCTGCCCACTGCACTAGAATTGTTATAGCTTGTACACATAGTGTACTGCCTCACATGTACTGTACTGTGTCTTACATTGCACTGTTGTGTCTCTAATGTTTGGTAGTACCAAAGAGAACAGTAAGAATTTTTTTGTTATGCTGTATAAAGTTATAATGACAATAAAGTTGGATTGAAAAACAAAAAAAAAGACACATGGTTCTCAGTGAGACATGGTTCTGTGAGAAAAAATGGATGTTTAAGAGACTTTGTTCTCAGTTTGAGGTTTAAACCTCAGGCGTCCACATGATATGATGCAATACTTGACAATACCATGGAATCTGCTACAATACGATCCAATTCGATTTAAAAGCCTCCAAATGATATGTGACCAACTTTGTTCAGAATCTGAGGTAAGCCTACCATTCATTTGCGAATGATGATGACGTAGAGAAGGACTATTTTAAGTATCAGAGATCCAGGCAAATCACCTTACTAGCCTATGAAATTATTTACACATCATTACCCCTAACAATGACCCTCTGCTTTGCTTCTTCTGACAATTTTGCCATTATGGACTTCAGAATAAATTTACATAAGCTGCACTTTTATTGCTCTAATATAAACTTTGAAGAAAGGGCTTTTTAAAGGTGACCTAATTTGACACTGTTCCTTCTTGACCTCAGTAAGTAAAGTGATGCACCGTCTTTGTTCTAATTATCAATTTGCAATGCCTCTCTGATAGGTAGCTGCATTGCTATCTATATGATTTCATGCAAATATACAATCTTTTGCAAAACTAAAGTGATACCAAACAAGCCTCCCTGATGAAGTCCAGAGATGTCTCAATCACGGATGCAGTCATGAAATTGTGAGTGGCCACATATCAAAGTTTCTTTGCCTGCCTGAGATGTTATTATAGCAACTACAGTGCTGAAACTGGGTATGTTGTACCGCATACCTTTTTGATGTCGGCTGTCGGCCATATTATAAAGGCAGGTAATATCTGTAACCATTTTTTTCATGATTACTCACTATCACTGTTTCATTTTGTCTGCATTCTTGATAGAAAGTATATTTTTTCTAAATGCATAAAAGGTTAGTTTGTAGTGCCATGATCAAAGATGACTTCTTTCTCTTAGGAATAAACTATAATCTATTATAGTTAGATATAGGAATAAAAGTTCCTATATATTTTCTATTCTGAAAAAAAAATTATTTTATTTTATTCTATAATATTCTAAGTGTCTTCATAAAATCTTCCTTCTTTATGTAGCATGTAATTTGATTGATTGAGAGGGGTGACTGAAGACCAGGTCCAGGGCTTTGATCGTTGATGCCAATGATCATGATGAATCAATGAATATGAAGATTAGTCCATGGCATCATCTAGGCCCCTGGAGGACTAGTGGTTAGGCCACAGCATTCTCACCGCTGTGGCATGGGTTTGATTCCTGGCCAAGGAACCGACCCCCAGCCAGTAGGGTTGCGTGCAACAGTGTGCTTCCAGTGCCAGTCCCAAGCCCGGATAAAAGTGTGCATCAGGAAGGGCATCCGGCATAAAAACTGTGCCAAATTAAATACGCGGTCCAACGATCGCTGTGGTGACCCCTAATGGCATCATCTAGTGACTTCTAGCCACTTTCTGAGCTTGAAAAAAAGAACACACAAAGATATATAGATATCTCTGCCACTGGAGTGGAGTAGTACATAATGGACTGGTGGCAGTCTGCTGCAGATTTTTTTTGTTATGAAAGAAGTTTGAGAAATCACTGGTAGTCAGGTCCAAAGGAATGTGAGAATCATAAATGCTAATTATTGAGGGATTCCCTCCTGTCATGTAAACGCTGGAATCAGCATGCAACTATGACTCCCAGAGTGCTATGCGGCCTACAAACATGGCCACTGAGGACTACAACACCCAGCCATCACGAACTTACTCACGTTCACATTCACCGTCATTCAGCGTCATTCTGATTGCACACACCTCGACTCAATTACAATCACAGCCACACTCACAGTATATAAGGTCTCTCAGTTCTCACACGCATTGTGAAGTATATGCTTAGTGTCCTGTACCTGTTGGTACCAAGCCTTTCTGTATCATGTATCTTTGGCATTGTTTCTGGTTTTTGAATATAGTCTTGCCTAGTTTGTGCTGTTTGCTGTTTGTTGATCATCTGACCATTGCCCTGTTTTTTTGATTATGACTTTGCCTAGCCCTTTGGATTTGTCTGCCTTCATCTTTAATAAAATCTCCATTACCAGCATTTGCTTCCGTTCCTGCCGAATAACACTTCCAAGCTATTCAGAAGATGTGACAGCGTACCTACAGCGTATCAAATTGTACCAATAATTGTGTGTACTGATTTTTAATTTTCTTATTTGTTGAACGTTTCCAGAAAGGTCAGTGATTGCCTGACTCAGTGAAAGGTCCGTTTGCCCATTGATGCTTGACATATCGAAATTTATGATCCCACCCGCAATGTTCATTTCTATTTAGAGCTTGTACAAATGAATTGTAAAACACTGCAATTACAGCAAGTACGTATGAGGTCATTCATCAACATTAACATTTGACCCACACAAAAGCTAAATATAATATGGCATGAACTACAATATATGGTACCAGTGGATTTTTTTTTTTCAAATATAATTTTTTTTTCATGTTTACTGTGCTGTTTTAAGCTCTCTAGCTGCTTAAGTATTTCTTCCATGCAGAACTACTTAGTCCACTGGTGCAGGCTTTGGAACATTTGTCCATGTAACATAACATCATGATGACAGTCACTGTACAAGGAAAAGTCTGTTGTATAGTACAGTTATATATGGTCAATTCTGAGTATAAACTGAGCATACACAAATTCACTAACAATTCGCTCATTCATTAATTTAATCTTTGGTGTGTCTGTCCAATCGATCTTAAGTATTTTTGAATGTAATATTTAGACAGCCTGAAAAAAGCTGGATTTGCAGTTTAATTTAAATCAATATCATTATTATTAATAAGTATAACAAGTAGGTTATAGTAAAGTAGAATAATGTAAATAATAATAATAATAATAATAAAAATAGCAAATAGTGTTAATAATCACAATTGAGCATGTGAAAACCATGTAATAAAATATTGCTAGTGGGGTTTAGTGTCACTGTGTAATTTGTAAATGTGAATGGATCTTTATCAGCTTATTTGTGTACAAGAGGAACCATGAAGTGCTGACCTGGATGTGGAGTTTAGAGAGCATTGCACCTTTTTTGAGCTTATTATTTCATATTGATTGTTTCCTGGTTTTTGTATCTTGATATTTCCCTCTTTGCTGTTTGCCTGACCATAGCCTGTTCTTTGACCTTGACTTTGCATATTGGATTTGTCTGCCAGTCTCTCAATAAATAACTGTACACTTCTGTCTTTTTATTTGCAGAAATCTCACACCAAAGCACTTCTAACTCTAACTATTTTTTCCCTCTTTGTTTTAGATGGCTCTTTCCTCTGATCTGGATAGCCTGCTGAATGTTTTTCTTTTATTGGCTTACTATCACAATGCCTGGGTCCCATTCTTCGTATATTGCTTATTACATCCGTGATCAAATGACAAATGCGAGATCATCTAATCATGCTAATTATGTTCTGGTTAATTAGGTTCTTCAGAAACATATGCGGATTTGATTAGTATACATAGCTGGATTGAGTTGTCTGAGATAATTACATGTTCATGCGCTGCTTGAAAAGGGTAGGCCTATATATCGATACTATAGAAACCATGATCATTAGTGCTGCAATTGGCTGATTAATACAATGGCCAAAGAGTGAGCGCAGTTTTTTACAGCTGCAAAGCAAGAATTATTGCTTGAAGGATTTGAAGAATTTCAAAGCCTTATTAAAACACCAGGAAACACCTCAAAAGCTGCCAAAACGTTGCAGACAAATAAAATTCATAAGTGTTTCACCATGTTGCATTTTTTTTACTTTTTACAGTATATTATATTATTTTTTTGTTCACTTTATTTTTTGTGTTTTGTTTTTTGACGTTTTATTTTCTTAATGTCGGAGCCAGAGTTGTACGTAATACATCAACACTTCTACCGGTTCCCAAGCAAGTGGTGAATGAAGCATGTGTAGTAATTAAATCATTTTTCATGTTAAATTTACATCAAAAGGGGGAAAAGTGCAACTGTGTTTGACACCCATTTTATGTTCATTGCAGTGAAGAAAACCTCTCAGATCACTGTCCTTTGGAAGTAGTACCTGTAAGTGTTTAAATATCTTAAATTGCATGTAACTCATGTGACTATAGTATTTCTCTGAGTAAGACTGCAGTAACAGTTGCAGGAGTCCACATCAACAGAGAGGCCTACATCTGCTGCTGCTCAGTCTGCACAGAAACGTGGTACAGAGGTGAGGAAAATATTAGATAGATTATTTCTTCCTTTTATTCTTGAGTAAATTTATTCATTTCTCCACAAAGGGCACAGTATGATGTCTGTTCCATATATAACAGGAGTCTTCTGACAAAGATTGTACATATGGAACTTAAAAACCAAAAATCCTGCAAGAGACTGAAATGAACAACTTGAGGAAAACAAAAATTAAACTGGAGATAGAGTTGCTTCAGAAAGATCTTGTAAGTGCACAGACTAATATTGTTGACTGTACATAATAATATCTCTAATTGCAGCTAAAAGATGACTGAAGACTGCCTTTGACTGGGAGGGGAGACAAATAAATTACATATGGGCCAAAGCATGTATGTGTCTTTTCTTTATTCAGAAAGGTCAATCAAAAATGGTGTTCCATAATTCTATCCCGTGCAGCTCTTCTATTATGTTGGTCCAAGTGCACTGGCTGGAGGTCATCATCAGGCTGCACCTCCACCACCACAGGGGTCCTTTTCTGATGGTGCCAATGTTGTGTAGTACAAAGCATGCAACAATAATGTTGCAGGCCCTATCAGGTACAACGATTCAGACACTGAAATATTCCCTTCAACTGCCCGACATTCATTTCAATGCGTGCCCTTGTCCTGGCTAGAGCTGCATTGTAACGGGCTTGTGGACCATTGTTTGGGTCAGGGAATAGAGTCATGAAGTACTGCCTGCAGGCATAGCCCCTGTCTCCAAGCAGGATCCCATCATAATCACCTGTGTAATAGAAAAATGCTGTTCCATTAGACACAGCATAAGTGTATTTAATACTGTGAGCTTGAAATTTCAATTTCTCTTACCATGTTCAAATAATGTGGATACATTTGACTCTCTGAAGATTTTTGAGTCATGCACTGATCCAGGCCATTGTGCCTCTATGTTTGTTATAAGGCACATCGAGTAGCACACCATCTAAGATATTTTATTCAGTGCATGTCAGTCAACTGCATCTTATTTTTTGATTCAAGGTATACTTTGCGAATGGCACGACAGACGGCACTTCTCACTAAAGTCTCTGCATCTCCAATAGTGTACAAGAAAGTAAAAGAAATCTCAAGCCGATTTAGACTCAACTTATTTAGACTCTTTACTTTGTAAAGTGACATATTTATAAAGAAGGTAAAGTGTAATATTTGTAAATTATAGAAATAAATCTATCTAATAATTTTAACCTTTAGTCCGAAATCTGAAAATAGATGGGATATTATCAGCATGATTATGCTAATTTGCACTCATTAGGCCTAACTAACCATTTTTCAACATTCTAGCTAAAGTGATGTTAACTAACTTTTTAGCAACTTCAACTGGCAACTGGTTTACAAAATATAATATTGAGCCTAATGGTAGTTAGCTTGACAAAGCCCCTGTTATTAGTTAGCCTAAGAGCCTGATTATTTTATGGCTATAATAATAATAATAATAATAATATCAGTTAATGATTTTCAGGAAAATCTTCCATGGTAAACTGTACAGTACTGCAACAGCCTCTTGTGGTTCTATTGGTATTGTATTGTAAATGCTAAATGCTACAAAAGCTAAATGCTAAAATCCTAATATCAGCCACCTGGATGCGGAGCTCTGAAGCTCACTGATGTAACAAGCAGAGTACCTGTGTAACATGATTAGACAATATGTCACTCAGCCATCCTGTATGTACACCAATCAGCCATAACATTAAATCCACTGACAGGTGAAGCAAATGCATTGATTATCTCATTACAATGGCACCTGTCAAGGGGTGGGATATATTAGACAGCAAGTGAACAATCAGTTCTCAAAGTTGATGTGTTGGAAGCAGGAAAAATGGTTAAGTGTAAGGATCTGAGTGTCTCTGACAAGGGCCAAACTGTGATAGACAACTGGGTCAGAGCATCTTCAAAACAACAGGCCTTGTGGGGTGTTCCCAGTATGCAGAGGTTAATGCCTACCAAAAGTGGTCCAAGGAAGGACAACCGGTGAAACGATGACAGGAATATGGCCGCCCAAGGCTCATTGATGCGTGTGGGGGGCGAAGGCTAGCCTGTCTGGTCCGATCCCACCTCGC